AGGAAATAACTTTTCTCCCTTATCCTGCAGGTATGCTAAAGGATGTCATTATGGGTACCAGAAGGCTCATGTGGCTCATACCCAGGTTGTCCACCAACCAGGATGCTGCCAAGGATGACACCCAGAAGTCCACCAGCCGAGAACCGAGCCCCAGAGGAGGGGCCAAGCTCAGAAAGGAGGAGCTGCAAAGAGAGCTACAGCTTTCAACAGAGAGACAGAGAGACCGGGAGGGGCAGAGGAGGAAGGAGAGGGAGGTAGAAAGAGTGGGAGAGGGCCAGAGAGAGAGAGAGGCGGGCAGACCAGGAGACAGGAAGGGAGAGACTTCCCATCGCACGAGAGACAGAGGAGGGATGGCGGACGATGAGAGAGAGAGGGAGAAGCGGAGGAGACAGAGAGAGAAGGAGAGGGCGGCTGATCTGCAGGCCAGGGGAAAGGAGTCGTGGAGAGAGGGGAGGAGGCAGGCAGAGAGAGAGAGAGCAGACGCGATGAGCTGGAACGGAAGAGGGGCCACCACCATGGACAGAGACGGGCTGCGAGACAGGGAGACGGAGGGGCAGAGGGAGGCAAGGCAGGCAGGCACCTATCCGCGGGCAGAGAAAAGGAGAACAGACAAGGGAAGGGAGGGCGAGAGGCGACTGGAGAGACAGGGGAGGATGGAGGAAGAGGGGAGAGACAGTGGGAGAGAGGGGGAGAGGAGGCGAGAGAGGAACAGCGAGGCAGGAAGACAGCGGGTGGAAGAGACAGCGAGACAGAAAGGGACGGAGGGAATAAGGGAGAGGCTGAGGCAGGGGGAGGGAGGGAGGCCTCCTCGGGAGCCACAGAGAGCGAGGGACAGAGACCGAGGGTCGGAACTCTACGCGAGGGACAGAGAGGGGGTGAAGGACCAGCCGCGAGACAGAGAGAGGGAGGACGAGAAACAGGGGGAGAGACGCAGAGAGAGAAAGGACCGCTTGGCACCGGGCGAAAGAGAGGCGGGGGGAGAGGCAGAGCGCCACAGGGAACGAGAGAGAGGGGTGAGGCTGGGGGAGGCGGAAGCGGAATACGAGCGCCGGCTGAGGGAAAGGGAGAGGAGGCGAGAGCGAGACCGGGAGTACCGCGAGGAGGAGAGGAGGAGGAACAGGGAGAAAGGGAAGGAGGCGGATCACGTCGGGCGGGAGAGGGAGAGGGCCGACTGGGAGAGACACAGGGGAGACTGGGAGAGGAAGAGGCAGACCTGGCTGCTGGAGGACCGGGCTGAGCTCCCGCCGAGGGAGCGAGAGACAGCGGGGGAGAGGGGAGGGGAGGGGAGGGCGAGGAGGAGAGAGGAGCGAGAACCGGAGGAGGAGCGCGGGGGGGCGCGGGAGGGAGAGGTCGAAAGGGGGAGGCAGAGAGCGGGAGGGAGACACAGCAGGAGTGAGGGAGACAGCGAAGGAGAACGGCGCAGGGGGGAGGAGATCCCAAGAGGCTGGAGGAGCGAGGGGGATGTCGTCCGAGAGCCCGAGGGGGAGGGGGACGGAGAGAGTGTGGGAGAGGGCTGGGAGGAAGAAGGGAGAGGGGGAGAGAGCGACAGAGGGAGCTGGGGAGAGAGGGAGCAGGAAAGCGAAGGCGAGAGAGTCCGGACCCCCAGAGACCAGCTGTCTGGGGAGGACGGCTTCGTCACCGTCTCCAGCGGGGGAGAGGGGGAGGAGTTCGAGGACTGCAAGGAATTCCTGGAAGTGGCCAGAGCTCAGGGAGGTGACGGGGCAGCCAGTCACGTGATGAGACAGCCTACCGAATACTGGGATTGCCTCTCTGAGAGAGAGCAGACCGAGGAGAGGGAGGAAGAGAGGCCGAGGGAGGTAGAGACAGCCCACAAGGGGGGGACCGAGAACGAGAGAAGGCGGCGGCACACAGAGAGAGGACCCGAGGAGGGGGGAGAGGGCGAGGGCAGGGAGGAAGGCTGGCCTAGGGGTGAGACAGACACAGTGCAGCAGGGGTGGCAGGAGAGAGAGGGGGGGGAGGGAGAGAAAGAGAACGTGGATCAAGTGGGAGATACACGTCGCCCCAGAGTCAGGGTGTTCTGTGTGATTGGACAGAACCTGCCCCAAGGCACAGGGCTGGAGAGGGAGCATCGACCGCCGACTGATGCAGAGGGTGAGAGAGAAGGTGGTGTTAATACAGACACACTGCCTGAACACTACAGCACAGGAACACTGACTAACTGGACAATATTGTACTTACAGTACTTACTAAGCCATGCAATTAATATTGGCTAACTAGACTCAATACACTTTAAGTTCAACTAAATTAGACTGCAATGAAAGAACACTGCACTGAGAATAAGAGAAAAACTACTTCACCATGAACAAATTACACATGAAAACACTTGGAAATGGAGTAAGCAATGTAGTTTTCTTAAGCTACTGGTAATTCTTTCATGCATACAGCTGGACTGGACTAGATCTTAACCATTTAAATTAATCCAAGTACCATAAACTGTACATTTAATTTCAGATTAACCCCTTGCATTATGTCATTAAATTACATTTAATCAATTTAAGGCTGTTTAATCTGTTTGATGACCGAAAACATAACAAATGTATATACGTATATCATAAAACAGGAGAGTTTAAGTGTCACTGATGTCTTTTTTCCTTGCAGTTGCCCTCGGCTCAGGCAGCCAGGGAGAAGTAGAGGAATCCTGGGATACTGAGAATGTTAGACAAACGTCCACAACAAGAAGGGCAATAATGGAAAATGTTCATTTGCACCCAGAACTTTTGGATGACAAGCACAGTAATGAATTACAGGGGGAAATTGGTGTGGGAAGTGGGATTGAAACATCAACACAAGATTTGCATCTTACCAAAAACTATGGAACATATTCTGAAACCATTGACACAACCACAGAGACAGAACTTTATTCTGACTCTGAGAGACAGAGGGAGCATGACATTTACTCAGAAAATACTGAGTCTAAGAGAGAGACAGAGGATCACCTTTGTGACGAATACACAGAGCCCACCCAAGAGAGAGAGGCTGAAATATATTCAGAAAATGTTGAATTAATCAGACAAAATGAGAGTGAAAACTACTCCACCAACATGTGGAAGGAAACGCACACTGATCTCCCACACACTGAGTTAGGAGGCGGAGATACAGATACGGAAATTAATTCAGACATTTCGCAACTTTCCAGAAATAGCAAGGAAGATGCACATGTTAGAAGTTTGGAACCTAGCAGGGAGACGGAGAGCAGCACAGAAAGTTCAGAGCCCACGGCAGAGACTGAGATCAACTATGAAAACTCAGCAGCCAGCAACGCAGATGGAGAGAGTGAGACTCATTTTCAGACTCTAATCCCTGCTGCTGAAAAGCCCATAGAAATGGATCCACCCAGTGCAGAGAATGGGTCTGAAGGATGGAACGACAATAACCCCCAAAACGAGGAGGGGGATAGTGAAACTCTTTCCAGAAATGCTGAACCAAGCGTTGCCAGTCTTAGTCCGAATGTAGAAAATTTGGGAACTCCTACCCAAAACCTGCAGGCTGGCAGGGACAGCGAGAGTGGCGATGACTATGAGGGGTCTGACTCTGGTTATCACAGACTTTCACAGACCGAGGAGCAGAAACGGAGAGATTCTGAGTTGCAGGGAGAGGCATCTACAGGGGAGGGAGAGGCTAATTCCCGGCTGCCCGACCCGAAAAATGGACACGATACCGGTGTGGATTCTGCCTCTTCTGCAGAACAGAGCGAGAGAGACACTGAAGCGAATTCCCAGCTGCCGGACTCGAGCAGTCTGGAGGACTTTGCTATCATCTCTCAGGGTGCAGAAACTGGTGGAGGTGGCGGAACAGGAGAGGAAGGGGGAGAGACCTTGCAGAGTGGGAAGAGCACGGGAGGAGAGGAGCAGGAGGTCAGAGGACCAGGAGAGACTGAAGACGGGAGGGGAAGGAGAATCTCTCTGGAATACCAGCCATTAAGAGACAGAGGGGAGAGAGAGGGAAATGAGGGGACAGAAGGAGGATGGGGGGTACAGGGTGAGGAGGGGCCAGAGGGAGGGACAGGAAGACAGATCCCAGCAGGGAATGATGGGGAGATACAAGAAATAGGACAGAGAGACACACAGCATGAGCAAGAGTTGGGCACGGATGGCGAAATGTCGGGAAATGCGGAGAGACGGACAGAGAGAGAGCCACAGACCGGAGCACCACTGCGCGTGGAGATCGAGAACGACAGAGACATGGTCATAAGGGCCCACAGCGAAAGCGAGTCAGAGACCAACCTGTGCCTCTCCAAGACGCCCCTTGTCAAGGCCAACAGCTGCCCCAACTCCTTAGAGAGCCCCAGCAACGAGCAGCACCCCTGGGCGGCGGAGCGGGCCGAGGGGGAGAACGGCAGCTTCAGGGACCAGGGACAGCAGGCTCGGGTGAGGCGGAGGGGCTTCCGGAAGACGATGGAGCGGGACCGAGAGAGGTGGAGCATCATGGAGAGCAGCGAGGGGAGGGACGAGGAGGAGGGGGAGAACCGAAGACGGGATCGCAGGACCCGGGTGTTCAACACGTCAGGTGAGAGAGAGGACGCTGTGTCGAATCCCTGCCCGGACCTGACCAGACATGGCACAGAAATGACAACAGTGATGTGATCATGTGGGACCCTCTCCCCTGTACAGGCCACCCACAACCTGTAGTTCACAGAAGCAGCTAAACCGCTGCTCCTCCAAACATTACTAACACCTCCACTGTGACCATCACTACGACATCTTTTTCACTATTACTACTACAAGGGTCACTGCACGGGATGCAAGTCACAGCGCCGTTCAGTGGAGATTTGGAAAGAATAATGATGCACTTCTATGGTTTTTAGAGTTTGTGAAAATTCATACCAGTGGGTCAATCTCAATATTAACTCATTTCTGTGATTTTGTGTTCAGATGATGACGACGAGTTAAGCATCAGCTTGTCAGAGGTGGATCTACGGTGAGTCAGGAGGGACAATACAAGACTGACTGACTGCACTAACTGACACTAATTTTTTTTAACTGCCAGTTACGCTAAGACACCCAACAACAGAGCAGATTAGTACACTGACATTTTCCAGAGGAACTGTGGTTTGATCCATCTCTCTGTCTGCCAGGCAAATGGCTTTGAAACATGTGGCTGGACATTTGCGGAAGAGGAATTCTAAATTCTTCCAGTCCTGTAAGTCGCTTCAGCATCTAGACTGTTGTTCCTCTGTCCATCATACCGGCTCTCACTGAAGCATCAGTACCCTGTGCTGTCCAGTCTGACACTGGTCATATTCACTACATCTGAAGATGTGTTTCGCCTGTACTAAAACTTCTCTCTGATCATCCCCCTCCCTCATCCTTCTCTATTCCTCTCACCCCCTCCCTCATCCTTCCCCATTCCTCTCACCCCCTCCCTCATCC